CTTGCGAGAGCCGCTGGGCGCACACAAGGTGCAAGTGCCCTGACAGAACAGGCAGAGAGCGTCTCACACCACAAGTGCTTTGCGCAGGGAAGCTACAGTCTTACATGAGTGTCTGAGTATTGATCCCAGACCCTCCTCTTTATCTCCAAGAGGCTAACAGCACCGAAAAGGCAGGCAGCCAGCTGAACTATGGCCCCGCGCCACTGCTGGCGAGTCACGAGCATCTGTGAATGAAGAACAAGCAAGGCAATCGGAGAAACACCACACTTGGAAAAGAGCGATACCAAACCTTTTAATGCTGGAGCTGTAGGACATGTAGCACGTAGGCAGCTGAAAGAAGAGCAAGTCTGCGAACAGGATAATAACCCCTAAAGCAAAGGGTGCTCAGCCACAAGGCTGGTAATCAAAATACACTCTTGGCAGCTCGGGAACGGGAGGGATCAACAGTACCTCAGGTGTGAGAGAGATGGGCTGGCTCATGCAATGATTGGGCCTGTGAAAATGCATATTTCTACGCTTTCTCTGTAAAAGCTTAGAGGAGGGGAAAACACGCTTTAAATATTTAAATATATTGAAATATATTTAATTTAAAATACATATATTTTAAAAAAACCAAAAACTCTTTTCTGTCCCCTTCACCGGGTCTTCACAGAAATTGCCCTGCGATAGGTTGGCACTTTAGCACCTGTCAATGCATTAAATTACATAAACAACGGCAACAACAAAGCAAACCTCTTCTGCATGTGTAGCACACTGACCAGTGCAGGATGCAACAAGCACCAGCGGCAGCACAACAGCAACAGCAGCGTCGGGGGAAGAACCAGAGCAGCTCAGGCCAGGCAGGGAACCGCAGACCCAGAGACTCACCCTCTTCTCCAGCTTTTCAGAAGACTGCGTCTCAAAAAGCTTAGCCTGCACCCCAGACCACACACCACCTCAGAAAGCAGGAAAGGGCAGAAACGTCTGTTTGCAGTGGAGCACACCAAATTATTCTCTGTTCGTTGCACTATGTGGTAGGAGTAACAGCTACGACATTCGTGAGAGATACCTGAGGCCTTCTCCAACAGCGTTTGGCTTGGAAAAGGTAATTCATAAGCAGAAAGGTAATTCAAGTCGCAACTCAAAAAAAAGGGAGTAAAGCAACAGTGTCACCCTGAGCATCAACTGCATCTGAGGTGACGCAGCAAAGCGAACGAGCAGCAGCCAAGCAACAAACAGCAGCTCAAGAAGACGTGGCAGGCAATGTCTTCCCCTCAATGAGAGGTCCAAAGACTTACATTTAACAAAGCCAGTGACAATGTTTTAAATAAAACTGTAAACCATCGTTTGAGAACAGTTGGAGGGTGCACATTATCTCTCAGTAACCATACGAGAGACTATCACCTGTGGAATGAAGTCACCTTCATTCACCTTCATGGTCTGTGTGCTTTGGAAGAGGCCTCCATGTTTCAGCTCTGATTTATTTCTAGTTAAGCTATTAATGTTTTTCACAGCTTATCCTTGCAGCTCAGAAAGCTCTAGCTGGGAGGCCTGGCAGCACATCCACAAGCTTAAAGGCCAGTGATCATAGGAACAAGCATTTTCTCCCATTATCAGCCAAATGTCTAGGTGTTTTATAGCAAATAAGGAAGGAACTGATCTGCAGCCCTCACTCCTGCAGCTTTCAGATAGGAATACGATTCGCTTGCCCTCATTAGCACCGCAAAGAGCAATGCTTTGATCTGATACTTAATAGCATGAGGCCAATGTCTAGAAGCTTTACAGGAGAGAGCATCTGCAGCCTAGCCCCTGCCACGAGATCCAGTATCAGGATCTTCCCACCAGTATAGGCTTCCAGCATGCCAGGGTGTGGGATATCCAAGATCCCCATCTGGCAGACGGCTGAATGTTGCACATTCTAAACTTCCAGACAGCATCATCTGGACGAGGAGGACAAAAACGCCTGCGGCCGCTATTTAAAGCTACTCAATATTCCGGTGTGTCTCATGGTGGGAGGCAGAGACGTATTCGGTGATGGACAACGAGGACTCTCATGGGCACAGCCTTGACAAGCCGGTTTTCATGGGTTGTTAAGTCTCACGTAAGCTTTTAACAAACCAAGTGTAAAATACGGCAGGACATGTGAGCAAGGATGGAAGCCTGATGTTACATCCCGTGCAACATACAGCGTATGCCTATGTATATACAGCTATGTAACAACTCTGGGGTGGAAGCCATAGACAACCAGGCCCACTCTGCTGCCTTTAGCTGAAAATCTGCTGAGTTCCTTGTCGTCTCTCAAGCAGCCAATCTTGGGCTGTCACACTGACTCTCCCAAAAACAGCTGTCCTCACCACTGCAACTGCACTCCTGATGGGCCCTTGGGCGCACTTTAGCCTCCTCACCAGCAACAGCATCCTGGGACTAACAAAAACACACAAAAACCTACCCATGACCCAGCAAACTCCTTGCTTCTGGTTTCACGCCCTTTCTGCTGCAGGCAAGAGCTGCCATGCAATGGTGACCCAGGATGTTAAACCTTAATTCTAAATTCATGAATATTTTTACAGCAGCGTTTATAATATCCCCCCTGTTTTACCTGGGGAGAAACCAAAGCTCGGAGACGTGCTGCAAATTGCCTGCAGCCAGCAGACCAGTGACAGGCGTGGCAACCAACCCACCTCCTACGGGCCAGCCCAGCACCCGGACATGCTGCCTGCCTCCCAGCGGGGCCCTCGGCTTGGGAGAAGGCAAGAGCATCCTGTTGCCTTTAGAGCAGTTCACTCAGCGCAGTCCCAAAGGGCCGTGTGGCTTCAATCATGAAACACTGCGCTCAGGCAAGTTCTTGGCATGATGGCAGCTAAGCCAAGGAGAAGACCTAAAGGACTTCTCGTATCTCCCCCCTCCAACTCTATACACTTGAAAGTAAAGAAACTACATCCCTCTAGTAGAAAAAGACAGCACCATGATAATTGGAGTGTCCCAATAAAAAAAAGACACCTCATGTCCAAGTTTGAGATGCAAAGTGAGCAGGTTGGTGCCAGTGCCTGTCAGAATCACCGTGCGAGGTGAGGGACATGAAATGCCACCAGCTGGGGCACAGAGACATTGCCAGGGCAAGGGGGAGGGGAACACTAAGACTTGCTTAACATTAACAGACATACACATCTGGGACAGTTATTCCTTTACAGCCTCATGAATTAGTGAGCCCATAAAAACAGGAGCCTCAAGGAGGACAACATGCCAAAACCCTGCCATGCAAACCATGTTAATTATGATAATAGGCAGATTTTAATAAGCCAGCTCCTGGCTCTTGCACTTTCACCTATAAAACACACATATTTCCAAGGCCAGGGGATCTCAGAAACACCTGCCACCCCAGTGGCACAAAAACCGTGTTAAGAGGGTTTGTCACACCCTGTATCCCTTTGAATTTTTCTAGTAGGGAAAAAAAAAAAAAATGATGAAAGAAAACTCCTGCTCTGTCAACCCCAATCTAGTCACAGCAATGAAACAAATGTCTCTGCACAGGCAGTGGTAAAGGAGACAAGAGGGCAAGAGGAGGGAGATGAAAGAACGGTAAATCATCTTCTCCAGACGACGCGACCAGGGAGCTCCTGGACTCCTGGCTGCCCAGTTCTGGCAGCTGACGCTGCTCTTCCTCCGATGCCCTGGCAGAGAGTCAAGCAGCACTGCTGTCCGCTTCACACTTCTGCTAGCCCAGCCCGTTGGAAGCGCGTCTGTGCCAAACACTGGAGGGTGGAAGGCGAGGAGGGGGAGCCCGCCGGATCAGCTAAGACTTTAGCTCCCGGTCAGGTTTCATGCTGAAGGGCTCCAGCCTCTCGCTCTCTGGCAGCATGCTGTTCAGCCGCTCCATCAGCGGGATCGTCTGGTCGATGCCCATCTGTATACGGCGGAGGATGGCAGACATCTCATTGACCTTCTGGATCTGCTCTGCATACTTGGCATACTTCTTCTGGCGCTCCTGCATGAAGCTATAAAGAGTTTCCACAGAGAGGTCCATCTGTTTAAAAACAACAAGCAGAGCGAGGTGCATTAGGTCGACTGTTACCACAGGCCTTTCAGCACGTTGTCTTTCCTAAAAGCAACCCAGAAGCATGTTAGACGCCCCACTGGAGCTACCAGCCAGGTACAAAGAAGCTCCTCTCTTGGGACACAAGAAATCTGTCATGAAACAGAATGATTCATAGATGTATACCAGGGAGGAGATACGACCACCTCAGTTCTACACTTAAACACTGAGTATTTGATCAGAAAATCCTTTATTTGTAAATAAATAAAGAGTTGAAAGCCAAGAGGCACTGCCAGGGATTTCCCAGTAAACTATATGTATATCCTCCAAGTTATTCAGACTCAGGGAACTTGTGGCCTCCTCCTACACCTGTAGTATACTTTCAGTGGAGATTGTTCATTCACAAGCATTAAAGCTCCACCATAGTTGCCAGTGCTAATTTCATCATCTTAGCCAGATTACTCTGCGACTAAGCCACTGCTGTTATTACCATCACCGTCTGGAAAACTCCTGCCTTTGGGAGAAAACCACAATGGATTGCTAGTGTCCCTGATTTCCCCGAATCCTAAAAATAATGTGTTATGAGTGACCCCAGGAGAGACATTAAGTAAATCAGCCGTGCAATTAAACACAGTAAGTACCCAAACACAGCTCTAGCATGATGACAATGACAGGAACTGCAGTGCTATTCCTGCCACTGAGTGACGAAGGCAGCCTTTACAATTCACAGCCCAACTTTCTCTTCAGCCAGACCTGTAAACTCCAGGCTGGATTCAGCCGATAGCTGCTAGTACTGCATGCGCATGAGCCAAGTCAGACGGCTTAAGCTGTTTTACATGTTTTAAGACATAACATACATTCAGAGAGCTCAGCAATAGATCTGCTCCAACCCCTCAAGCGCACACATGAAGCTCGGTTGTTTCAGCCCTTTGTAGCCTTGCTCGACAACCCCAGTTGCTCCGCTATGATGGCTCTTCAAACTGGTATGTCTGAGCAGTTGGAATGCATCCTGCAGCCACACTCTGTCATGGTGGAAAGCGGTCCCCTCGCTTGGGACTCAGCGCAGGCCTGCAAGCGGCTGCCGAGTGAAGGGCAGGAGTGGACACATGCTGACCAGTTTTAGCCCACTGCCTCCTCTCATCACCGTTTTCCCAAACCTCTGCCATCTAATTACCCCCAGAGGAAGGAGGTCACTGCTCACAATGAAGCAGCCTCAGGGCATTGGTGCTGAGGATTCCTTGTCTACCAGGAGTCCCTGGTTCAAACAACATCCCTCGCTTTAACTGTGTGACAGTGTCAACCCATTCGGTGGGGGACAGTGACCGTACCTGTCATCAGGGATGACACAAATTCACCGGTGCACTGCTAAAAAACAAGCTGTGCTGACCAGATCTGACTTACATAGTACTTAACGTGCAAGTGTAATCCTGACACAGTGCACAGTGGTGTGGGGCTGTAGGGGAGAGCCTGCAGCAAGGGGAGGACTGGGTGGAAGCAGTGCAAAGCTGGAAGGGGGATCCCCCACTGAGGAGGGAAGTCCCACCCAACTGAGCACTGCCGTCCCGCTGGCAGCACAGTGTTTGACACTGGGGGAAGAACTAGGAGAGCTGTGTTTCCTGACAAACGTCCCTTTCAAGCCCTGGGGAAGGGGTCAAGACAAAAACAGTTGGGCAAGAAAATATTTTATTGAGAAACCTAAGTTACAAACAGCATTGAAAACAAACACACAAGTTTCTGCTGAACTGTTATGGGGATTGGGAAGCTTTCTTTTCCCACCTATCACATCCATCAGAGCTGGACACAGTACCAATTAACCTTTTATTTTGCCTGTACTTTCTAGTGCTCTCAGGCTGAATTTTTCCTTTTTGCCTCTGTGCTTTCCTGTGAATTCCTCCCTCCACACTTTCATTCACGGCACAAAATAAAAACCAGCAGAGCAGGAAACTCCAAATAGAGTGGAAACAATTTAAGCCTACACAGGGGTTTCTATTAAAACCCCAGCTTAATAATTTAGTAGCTTGGCGCTAGGTCTGTAAATTGGAGTGTGTAAAAAGCAGACCACCACCAGGTCTGCACGGGATGGAAGTAAATTCAATCCAGCACCTAAAAACATCCTACCTAATGAGACACAGTGGCATGGAGTGGCAGCCAGTCGGAAACCTGCCAAAAGCCAGCATGCCTCATTAAACTGAGCAGCACAGAAGACCCAGGCAGAAACCTCCCCTGGTGCTGAAGTTCTCCTGCACAGGCAGGTTCTCCACATGGTGTCACAGTGCTGTGCAAGAGGCAAAGCTCACATGTACCAAGCTTTGAAACAAAAAGACTGAAGACCCCCTTTTTATAGCCCAGAAGTCCAACCATATCCTGGGCTGCATCAAAAGCAGTGTGGCCAGCAGGTCAAGGGAAGTGATTCTGTCCCTCTACTGTGTTCTGGTGAGATCCCACCTGGAGCACTGCATCCAGCTCTGGAGCCCTCAGCACAGAAAGACATGGACGTGTTGGAGAGAGTTCAGAGGAGGGACACAAAAATTATGAGAGGGATGGAACACCTCTCCTATGAGGACAGGCTGAGAGAGTCGGGGTTGTTCAGCCTGGAGAAGAGAAGGCTCTGGAGAGACCTTACTGCAGCCTTCCAGTACTTAAAGGGGGCTTATAAGAAAGATGGGGACAGACTTTTTAGCAGGACCTATAGCAATAGGACAAGGGGTAATGTTTTAAACTTAAAAGAGGGCAGATTTAGACTAGATATAAGGAAGAAATTTTTCACAATGAGGGTGGTGAAGTACTGGCACATGTTGCCCAGAGAGGTGGTAGATGCCCCATCCCTGGCAACATTCAAGGTCAGGTTGGACAGGGCTCTGAGCAACCTGATCTGGTTGAAGATGTCCCTGCTCACTGCAGTGGAGTTGGACTAGATGGCCTCTACAGGTCCCTTCCAACCCAAACTATTCTATGATTCTCTGATTCTCTCCATTCCAATAATTTTTATCTGTTGATATTTAGGCTCCTTGTGTAAGTACCAGTAACATCCACTTACTGGAGGAAAACATGGGGAGAAGCTGAAGCTGACCTAAAAAAGGAAGAAGAAATGCAGAGAGGCCTTTCAAGCTCTTTGCTACTTTTGGACACATTCACAATGGCTATAAAAAAAAGCCGCCTCACAAACAAGAGAAAGGGTGGAAGTGAGTGTTTCCTATGGTTTTCCTACACCTAGTGTTCAAGTTTGCCTGCTGTGGGAGGCCATGGCAGCTGCACAGCCAGCGACACGAGAAGGAGTACTGAAGTTGAGTAACTTTGAGGAAAGGCCAATTTTTACTCAGACTGAACCTGGTCTTTTTAACTAGAAAAAAACCTCACCACCAAACCTATGTGTTAACTCCTGTATATAAATGCCAATGCCTCTTTGCAGCCTTCCTTGAAGCGGGCCTAAATACACACTTACATCCTTCCTGCCTCCTCCCCCTCCAAGCGAGCTCCTCCAGTGCCAGACCTTGTGCTTTTACCTCTCCTGGCACGCAGTCCCGTTCCTTTGGCGCTCAGACGGGGACTTCAGTTGCAGGACTCAGAGGGTCAGCCCTATTTACCCACAACAGAGACTAAAACTGTCCTTTGGGAATCTGCAATGAATAGGGAACACGCATAAGAATCCGCTTAATTCCCATCTATTTAATTCCATACAGTAGCAATAAAAAGGATCTGGAGAAGGGGAGCTTAGGCAAAGAGTCCGCTCCCTTGCCTGTAGCCAAGGCAGTCCACGCTTTTCAAGACACCCTCAAGGGTCAGATGAGTGAATTTGCCTTTTCTGATCAGCTCCCATCAACTCCCACATCCCATACTCAAGGCTCTGCCACAGTCTCTTCTGAAAAACACTCAAGTCTCAGCCCTCTTGCCCATCCCTGGCTGAGAAGCAATCTGGGAAGCACAGCAAGATGCCTTAGAGCCAGCAGCTCTTCCACACCCTACAACCATCTGCAAGTGTTAATATTTGAGCCATTGTTTCTGCTCTGCTTGCTTCAAGCTTCCTACTACACCAGACCACCACAGTTGCGGGCAACTCCCCCATTTGACAGGTCCCACCCTGTACCCATAAGTCATGACAGATGTGGAGCTGGGCTGTCACCAGCCCATTGATGGCTTCACCATTGAGGTTTCACCACCACCAATTTCACCTTCAAATATCATCACTGAGTAAGCTAGCATCATCCCAGGTACAGAAGAGTTTAGAGAGTCAAAAGACTGGACCTGAAGCCTGTTAGGAAGCAAGAGAACAAAAGCAGAGGGCACAGCCCAGCACTTGAGGTCCCAGTCCTAATTCTTGTCAAAGCAAGAGCTTCTGCCCAGCCTGGTCTTGAGGAAAAAAGATATGTTCTCAGTGAAGGAGTGAGAGCTCCTAATGAACATTGTCATTCCAAAAAATAATTCCTCCTGTTAGAGCAGCAAACTTGAGGCTGGACATGTCCAGAGTAGAAGACAGGATTTTTTCCACTTCCTACATCAAAAACGATGTAAGACTGTTTTCAGTTTTTCTTTTAGTATAGTCTCATAAAAATGGACAAGCCTAAACCTCACCTTGCAGCATACAAGCATACAAGCATACATACTTTTTTTGTATTGCCAGTAACATTTAGAATTTGGGTCTGTTTCTACTTCAAAGCTCATGACTCCTCCATGGATTAGCAGCAGCAGGACACTAATTTATGCCTCAGCTTCACATTTTAAATATGAAATGACACCTACTGGGCTTTTCTTTCCTCAAATGAAAACAGATTCATAATTACTTCCAACAACAGTGCAAGATGGATATTTCCCCACTTAAAAAGGCTCCAGCACAGCCCCTCCTGCTACACCATTCACATTGTCAACCAGTAAGGGCTCGCAGACTCCTCTGCGATACACAGGCCCATTTGTAACACCACACTGATGAAACACAAAAACAATTGAGGGTACTTTCAGACATCTTGCACACCACAAATTCTTGCATTCATTTCAGA